TGCTGTCCGTGGCTGTGCAACAAGCCGTCGCAAGCACAGCGTTAGGCGGCCCGTGGATGCATCCATTGCAGTCCGAAACCCACGAAGGGCCGCCTCTGGACGCCTTGCTCCACCTCGAAGCCCCCGCCGGACAGAGCCGCCTGCCGCTGCGGCCCTGACAGCCTCAGTAGCCGAGTAGTAGTCAGTCTAGGTAGCACGGACAGCTGCGACCGCGGCTCGCACTCAGGCAGTTCGAAAAGTCCGTTTAAAAAAAAAGAATGAAGCGGCGGAGCGGCTCGTCCGAGACTTGGTGCGCCTCCGAGCCCAACGGGCACTGCCGGCACTGCGAGGTGCAGCCGCTTCCGCCTGGACGAGACGGTGGTGGGCGGCTCTGGCCGTAGCGGTGCAGCAGGCCGTGAGCAGCACTGCGCTCGGAAGCCCGTGGCCCGGGCCACCAACCGGGCCCGGAGCTGGACCGTGTGCTCGACCTCGCCGCAGCTGCGGGGCCGAGCCGACTGCCGCTGCGCTAGCCGCTAGCCAAAGTCAGGCCATGAACGGCCTGCCCGCCGCTGTAGCCGTAGTTGTGCGAACTAACATGCTCACCGCTTCGTTCTGCGGAAAAAGGTGCGTGGGAAAAAAAATGTCTTGTGTGATCGACCACGTACGTCCGGTTAACTGAGATACCATCTCCGGCACCAGCAGGTGGCGCTTGCGCCGGGACGTCCGCTCGAACGCCGAGCGAGCTCTTCGGGTGTAATCTTGCCACCGTCCCAGTGTCTTAGCATCGCGAGCACTTTCATTCGAGCATGCCGTCGCCCGCGTTTGTCGGGAGTGTACACGGCGCACGCGTTGCGCGCGACGTCCGGGTTGCTGACATGAACATCGACGTCCCCGTGAGTGACGCGCGGTGCATCGAGGTCGTCGCTTACGGCTTGCCCCTTTGGCACGGGGCGTAGCTCGTGCTTGATGTTGCAATCGTCATGCAATCGTCAGCCCGGTCACGCGAGCCGGCGAGCCGCAGCCGGGTGCTGACACCCGCGCACGCGCGGCCGTCCAAGCCGCTGCCCGCCGCAAGCGGCGCCAAACTTACCCCGAGCTCGCTCTTTATTGGGGTGGAGGTAGGCGGGCGCTTTGGAGCTGAAGCTGCGCCACCTGGCGCGGCACCGTACGGCCGGCCTCCCGCCACCGCTACGGGCCGCTGCTTGTGCAGGATGGGTCCAGCGCTGGTCCGGCATCCTCGCCGTCGCCGCCAGGCGCGCCTTCGCGGGGTCGGCTGCCGCCTGGTGGTGGCCTTTGCGATGCAGGAGAGGCGCCCGACCTCCACGAAATGTCCGAGGCGGCGCTCTGCTCGCAAGCCGCATGCCAGCACCCTGACCTCACCCGCAAACCGCAGTTCTCGTGCACTGGGACCGCGGATGCCGGACGAAAAGATGCGCGAAAAAAAGAAGCAAATGCACGTCTGGGTATGTTGTGGCGCCATTGCCGCCTGTGTGGCTTCACACGTTGGTCCCGCGCTGGCGCCGAGCGGCGCGTGGCGGTGCACGCCCAGCAAGGATGGCTTCCGTGTTGGTTCAGCGCCCCTCGACCGGATGTGTTTGGAAGGGACCTGGCCATTCCAGGAGACGCTCGCTTCGCACAGCTCTCCGGACCAACCCGCCTAGGACAGTTTATGGGCTGTCATCAGCCGTTGTTTATGTCCACTGTAGAATGTAGTGTAAATGACACTAGAAGCCGACTCCACAAACGGACCAAGAGTTGCTGTGACGAAGGCGAAGGGTTACTTTCCAGGGGGTCGTGGTCACAGTCGATCAACATAAGTTGCATGTGCAAGTACGACATTGATATGCCGCGTTTGCTCAAGCAATCTTGTCACATGATGGAAGATCTAACCACCAGAGAGTCGCGCACTTGACATCGGAAAAGAAGACTGGATCGCGAAAAATGCACGGAGGATGGTTCCATGTGCAAAAGACCGTTAGCAACACATGCAGCGTCATGCAATTGGATGTGGACCCGGAGACGGGTGACAACAAGTCACCTTCGCGCCAGGAGTGTGTCATGCATTGTGGGAGTTGTGCCGTGCAGTTGGCGGTTCCACCAGGACACACTGGAATCGGCATGTTCACCACATGCAAAAGCTCTGCGGCGGCCGCTTTTGGCAGATGCTAGCAGCTTCGAGGTGCAACGCTTTTGTGACGCGGTATTGAGCAAGATACCGTCTGGTCTAGAAGTTTCACCTCATTGTGCTCACAATTACAAACCCGAAGAAAAGCCCATAAGAAAAAAACGTAGACACATGTCAGATGTGTCACATGTCCTCTCCGATGTGCAGGCACACAATGACCATGCCCAGTGTCGGCCATAGGTATATTCCAGGCTGTTGTGTATGATTAATCTGAGTCGACAGTTCGTTGCGAGCACTTATATGGGTGTCTCGTGTTTCATGCTGGAAGCAGAAAGACGGTTTTGGTTTGGGATGGCTCGGGTCGTGCAAGCAGCATCATGTTAGACTGCTTTTTGCATTTCTCGCGCTCGCATTGGCAGCCCGAGTCTCCATACCCAAACGGTGAAGGCGAGAAAGACGTGACACATGCACAGGCATGCTTAGGGATAGTTTGTGTTATTTGAGTGCCTTCGGCGCACTCCCCGATCTTGTGGCTAGTCGGTTGATGATGCGTTCACGACAGGATGTCCCCTTGCCAAAGTCGCCACGCTCGGATGCCTTGGATGAGGCAATCCTGCAGCAACTTGTTGTGTTTGTTTGTTTCGTGTTGATGTGCTCTGCAACGCAAGCCGTCGTCGAATGCTGGTAGCATGCCCACATTTTGATACAGACACAGCCGTATGCACAGAATGCATGTGCCCAAGCTGACGAAGCAAAGCGGTGGGGAGAACACGCTTATTGTTCCAACTGGACCCAGTCCGTGAGTCTAGCGGTATAGGTATGTCACGTCGATGCGAGGAATTGCGCTGAGTTCAACGTAGCCAAATGCACAACGCCATTGAAGCGTTTGGGACGATGTTGAAACACTAAGTAATCAATCTCGGGACCCCCTTTAAGCGGAAGGGCGAATATTTTGCGTCCATCAACCAACCCATCAAGCAAAGAATCAATCCATCCATCCATCCAGTCAGGTCTAGTGATATTTACCCGTGTTTTCTCCTGCCTATGCATGATCGCAGGTACGGCGGTGCGAGAGGGAAGAAGTCAAATCTCATCTAATCTAACCCTATCCAACTTGACTCAATGTAGTCTGAAATACGTATCCACTTGAGTGTAATGCGATCCATCCATTAGTATCTATCCATCTATCTCTTCTGTTTGTGCGTTTGTCCGTCTCTCCGCGTATCCGTCTCTCTTTGACAATTTGTCATCAGCTTCCGCAGCGCTGTGCCGTGTTTACGTTTTCCTCATAGCAGAATTGGCGTTCAACACGTTTGTCCGTTCATCCATCTATCCATCTACTTATGTATCTGTCTATTTGTCTTTGTATTTGTTTATGTATCTATCTGTCTATCTATC